TAGGTAGGTAGGTAGGTAGGTAGGTAGGTAGGAAGGTAGTAGATGTTTCCAGGTGCATTTATCCATGTGCTGGAGAAGGAAATTGCTGACAATCTGCAGTACCTAAGACTTTGTTTCTGCTGGCAAAGCACTTGTTCAATGTAATTCTCATCAATCAGTTAAAGAGCTTTCCAAAAGGTGGGGGAAAAGTTTTTGCACTCTGAAAACTTTCCCAAAACAGCCTATTAAGGCAGAATAGCCTTGGGGGGGGGGGCCTTGCAGAGTACTCCTGGGGGGTGCCCCCCCCAAAATGAGCAAAAAACCCACCCTTTTCGTGAAAACAGGCCCATCTTTTTGTCAAAAAAATTGCATGCATAGCCTTCTGGAGGCTTATAGAACCCTGCTTGCGGCAAAAAATGGTCCGTTTTTTGGTCATTTCTGCTCTCCCAGCCCCCAGCTCTCTGAAAGCCTCCATAAGGCTATGCATGGCCATTTTGGTGAAGGGGTTGAGGCTTTGAGAGGCAAAAAAATGCTGTATTCAGTGTATAAGATGCACCCAGATTATCATCCTTTTTTGAGGAAAAAGATGTGTCTTATACTCTGAAAAATACGGTAATCGTAAGGTGGACTGCTGACTTATTTTCAAAGCATAAATGAACATCTAAAACATGGAAATTACATAGTAGCTATTTGAAAATGGTGTTATCATTCCATCCCATTTCTTGAGAACGGCTTAACTTCACCAGTGAAGACGCAACAAACTAGGACACTAGTTTTCAGTCCATCCCATGAGATCACACAGAACAGGCATAGTGTCATCTCTGTTTCTTAATCAAGGGAGCCAGCGTTGTTCAAAGATGCTTCCGTGGTTATGTGGCCAACATGACTTACATGCTGAGGTCCATGGAACTCTGTTACTTTCTCACCAAAGTGCTACCTATTTATCTACTTGCATCTGCATGCTTTTGAACTGCTAGGTGGGCAGGAGCTGGGGCAAGTAATGGGAGCTCACTGTCACACAGTACTCAAATTTCAAACCTGGGTTGTCAACATTCCAGTAGACAAGCTCAACTTCTTTAAACGCTGAGCCACTGTGCCCTCCTTGGCCCTTTGCCCAAGCATTTATTGCCCATCTTACATTGGCTTTCTGAACATGCCTGTGGTTTGGCCTCATTGAAAATGAAAAAAAAACAACCATAAAAACAATGCATTTTTTGTTCTTTATTTTTAATCCTATGCTTACTGCCCAGAATCACAGTTTGTGAGATGGGCAGCCAGATCAAACAAACAAACAAACAAACAAACAAACAAACAAACAAACACTGATATTTTTTTTAGTCCCTTGCTATATCTACTGTTGAATTTTACAGCTCATGGAAAAACTAAACTAAAGAATAACATGAAGAGTCAAAAGAAACTTCGACATGAACTTTTCTAAAAAGGGGGAGGGAGGGACTCTACCTCTGCCTTTACTTATATTTGTTCTTAAACTCTTCATAATTGGGAAAGGATTCCGAGAAGAAAAGTGACTCGTTAACAGCAACACATTGCCACTTTACTTTATGAGTGGATCTGTTTCTTTCCCTAATTTTCCACCCTCAGGTTCCAAGGGTCACAATACTGGTTTAGAAAATTTGGAGTTTGTGCAGAGAATAATAATTAATATTGTTTCAACTGATAAAAAATCTTGAAACCTGATCCTTGATGGCTTTAGTAAGAAATGTTTGTACCTGTTTGGCTCTGCAGTGCTAGGTGCTGAAGGATTTGAGTGCTGCTGTTGATGTCTTGCAGGAGGCTGGGATGAAGGAGGGCTGGTAAACAAGAAATTGCTAATAAATCGCCAAACAGCTATCAGTGGGTAAAGGATTGTGCCAAGGTATTTCCATAAATCTCCACTGGAAGACTGTACGACTGCTGTAGCTGGCCTTCCTGCCTATTTATGGAGAAACAAGCAAGTACTGTTTAGAAACTAGAATTTAAAATATAAAAGAACCCTCTTACTATATTATTTAACACATATAACTTTTGTCTTGTAGTAAATTTATAATTATTTATTTGAAACCTGTACATTTCTTTTGTTTTCCCTTTTTACACACTTACAGGCAACAATACTATTGAAGCACTTGGAGCAAGTCCCAGGTCTGATAATTTTTTCTCATAATCATCTTTGGTAAATTCTCTTCTGGGGAACATTGTTGCCAGTGAGAAGTTGCCATATGTGTTGCCAACAATCTGTAAAACAACAGAACAAGCCAAGTTCATTTCTATTCTTTACAAATAAGAGGGAATATAAATGGCATGCCATTTTCAAGACAAATAGACTTTCATCCTAAAATTTTCATAAGGAACTGAAAAATTCTTCAGTGACAATAAGAATAGTTGCAGCGATTGCTCAACTTGCATTAGTTGGTTCTAAATTTGATTTGATTGGTAGCAGGAAATGTGCCTTACTAATGGCCGATAAATTAAATGATCCTTCAAAGCAGAAATTAAGTAGGAGTATTAAAAAGGTTATTAGGTCCTGAATAAACTTTGAAAGAAATGTACTTTCTTTCATATGTTTACCCAGGTTTTATGTTAGGCAACAACACTTTTCTTGTAATAGAACAATCCTTTTCCCACAAGGAAAGAGAGAGACACCAAATTTCAATTGTACTATTGGAGCAATCAAAGGGTAGGTAGATAACAGGCTGTAATCATGTAAACAGCATAAACACTGACTGGGATGCTTATGGGTTACTCACTTCTATGTTTGCTGTATGTAATTCATTTTTTTAAAAACCTCCTTATTAAACCTATTGCCTTAAAAAATGTAAAGACAATGCAATAATTTAGTTCAACTATTAATGCAGCTTCCATTTAATTAACTTTTTGAAAAACAACAGATACTTGTTAACAACAGATACCTGTGCAGCAAACCGATGAGCTTCTTCCAAAGGGGCATCCGAAGGGAAACTATTAGTGAAAGAAGATCCATCTGGAAGGCGAAATTGGATTCTTGCTATAGCACTAGGGAAGATATTTTACATTAAAACATTTGGTTTTACAAAGAACACCTTAAATTATAGAAAAAGGTGGTTCTACAGAAAAAAGAGCTCATTATTTATATCAACAATTGTAGGAGAAGAGTGGTAGAATCTGGGGGAGAGTCAAAAGAGGAATCAACCTAGAATTGCTATGCAGTCACAAACAGAGTAATTTGTGGCTATGAAGTGACTTTAGGCTGATTCCTCTTGGGATCCCACCTGCAGGTTCTGCCACTCCTTCTTACAACAACAGACAAAGCTATCTGTGAATTCAGAATAAACAAATTCTCTGCCAAACTTTATAGCTCTAAAGTAGGAGGAGGAAAGAATAAACACTGAATTGAGAACTGGGATGAGGCTAGAATAACATCTAAAGTTATAGGCTCTTGCAAAATGCAAGGGTGGTTTTATGTAAGTTGAGAATAACAAGGGCCTGGGAGAAAAAAAGTACCTTTTTTCCTTTTGGGATGTTTCCTTCCTAGCTTCCATTTCAGCTTGCTTAGCCTGAAGAGCAGCAGCTTTTGCAGCTTCTGCCTCTTCTTTTGACCTTGCAAAACGAGCTGCTCTGTCAGCACGATCCTTCACAAGACAAAAAAAGTAACTTATTAACACGACTTTTTAATACTAGCTGTAAAAATCAGACATCATAGTGATTTTGATGTAAAAATTGTTGTATGAGTTAGATCCAGATCAAACTATATTTGGATAGAGTCACTGAAATCAGTAATGAGCAACTGATTATTATTCTTAAACTGATTAAATATAAATGTATTCAAGGTACCATAATCCATGCCAATTATCAAGGACCTATACTTAGGACCCATGGGCTGAAGTTTTCCTTGTACAAGTAAATCACACACTTGAATACTTACCAGTGCAATCTGCTGCCTGATGCGTTCCCTAGCAGCTTTATCTTCAGCTTTTTCTCGGTTCCTTTCTTCCAATATTCGTTTTGTAAGATCTTCTTCCTGTTTCCTTTTATATTCCAACATTTCTTTCCCAGTTTTTCTTCTATCTATTTCTTTTTTTATTTCTTTCTAAATAAAAACAAAACATGTATTTTATTTACTGGACTTTAAAT